CAGGAAGTATATCAGAGAGATCAGTTTGGAGGGCGTTGCCAGAATTTAAGTACTGGTTTACCGAAGTGGTAGAAAGAAAATAAAGAGACGTAGACAGAATTGAGACTTATTGTGGAAAGCCACGGGATTACATGTGGTTTAGATGTAAGAGACAAGGGAAAGGAAGAGATTTTTGACTTGAATAAACGGGAGTGCTCTTTACTGAGTTATAAAAACTACAGAATAACAGTTTAAACTTTGAAGGAATTCCAAGAGTTTTGTTGAAGGAGTGCTATATTTGAGATGTCTGAGAGACAGGTGAGAGAGGCGTAGTTAGTAATCCATTTACAATTCTGAAACTTATTAGAGATACGGTGTATTAATGTATATTGATGGTGTTTAAAGAAATATCAGAGGAAGAGAGGAGACTGTAAAGAAACACAAAAGGTGCAGATAAAGAAGCAGAAGGCAAGCCACGATGTGTAATGCACCAGAAGTCAAAAGAGAAGACTGGCCAGCTAAGAAATATTCAGTTTGAATGCCGCTGAGAAATAAGCATGAGGAAAACCAAAGAAATTGTCATATGGGTCACCTCCTGGGTTACCTGAGACATTAAAACAGGCAGTTTCAGGAACAGGAAGGATACTAAAGACAGAATGAAAACATAGAAGAGGTGAATGTTCTGAGGCAACAGAAGAAAATCTTTTGGGAGTTTAGGAGAGCACATAAAAAAGAAATTCAAGAAAAGGAGAAAGACTTAGGGAGGAACATGGGACCAAGGGGATGAGTTAAATTGTTTTTCTTTTTTCCATTACCAGGGATCAAACTCAGGACCTTGCCAGGCAGGGACTGTCCCTTTCACTGAGCTACACCATGGCCCTTGGATGAATTAAATTTTTAGTTACCATGAGCTTCAGATTGCTGCAAAGCATCTGAGGGAAAATATATTACAGAAGTTGGATTATAACTGGAGAGACCTTTAATTGTGCATGTGCAGCCAAATCTACAGTAAGAATTTCTAGCCCAGATGCCCTTTCAACATACCGTTTCCTTCCGTGGTCCATGCTCAAGGTCCTGACATTTAAGAGGAGACTTAGTACATAACCCTCTTCTAGACCTAAGTCCTGGAATCACTTCTCCACCTTTTGGCTAAGATCAAGTGTAGTCCTGGACTACTTTGCTGAGCTAGAAACCACTAACTCCATCCTCTCCAGAATGGTGTCCTTTATTTAGACCTTTAAAGGGTCTTTTTTTTCTTGCAAGGTAAATTACCTTTTTTTTTTTTGGACCAGGGATCAATTGCAAAGCAAGCAGCAGAACCACTGAGCTAAATCCCAGGCTTGCAAGGTAAATTTCTAGAAGTAGTATTTCTGGACCAAAAAGTATTCCTGGACTGGGCACGTCAGAGGCAGCAAGGAAGCATTTTAAAGACCACTGTAGGTCAGAGACAGTTGAGTGAGATACACTATGTTTCTCTGTTTCGGCTCTGAATGGTACCTCACTTAGGATTAGCTTCTGTAGACTTTTCCAAGGGTCAGTTAGTATGGTCTCCTGGGCCGTTCTGTGGCCTAAGACTTTCCTTCAATATTGGGGGGAAAAAGAGGAGTTACGAAAGTCAGAGGGCTCTGGGGAGGGGTACTTATTACGTATGAACATAAAGACATTTTCTCAGCACTTTCATGAAGATGGTTTTAATGCTCTTCATGGGAAGTGTTTTCTTGTGAGAGTAGCAAGTATATTTTACATGCTTCTTTTCCTTTTTTTTTTTCAAAATAACATACACCTACTCAAATAAGCTACCAGTCTCACAGAAGCTAACTCATTTACGTGTAAGTGCAGAAGCCAGTGTGGGGCTGACCACCCCATCAAGAAGACATAAAGTGTATTCTGTTTTCAGTTTAAGCATGTTGGAAAGTAAAAGTAAAACACTTTTTTTTTCTGTTGTGCTAATGACATCGATTGACTTGCACAAGGGTTCTCTGTCCTGAGAGAGACTGTCAATTCAGTGCAAAGGGAACAAAGACACAACTTGAACAGAATACAGGAGAGATGATTCATAGCACACTAAAAAAAAAGTCTTTCAACTTCATATTAAATTTCTAGGGCTGCTGTAACAAAATACCACAAGCTTGGTGGCCTCAAACAACACAGATGTACTGTCTCACACTTCTGGAAGTTAGGAGTCTGAAATTAAGATGTCAACAGAGCCATAGGTCTTCTGAAGACTACAGGGGAACCCTTCCTAGCTTCTGGTAGACCTTTCCAGAGTCTTGACATGCTGAGCTTGTGGCTGCAGAGCCCTAGTCACTGTCTGTACCGTCACATGCACTCTTCCTAAGTGTGTCTGAATTTCTGCAGGGCCATCTTTTTATAAAGACATCAGTTATATTGGATTAGGGGCCCACCCTACTCCAGGATGCCCTATTTTAACTAATTATATGTATTTTCAAACGCTTGTGACCCTATTTCCAAATAAGTTCACATTTAGGGGCACTCGAGATTAGGACTTTTAACATATTTTTTTGGGGGGAGACACAGTTCCACTTATTACACTCATTTTCACAAACAGGAAGGAAAAGGAAAAGTTATGGATAATGGGTTGAAAATCTAGTTGTTCCCATTACTGTACTGTTTCCATAGCACTACTCTACTGGGGATCAAATTCGGGACCTTGTACTTGCAAGGCAGGAAGTGGCACCACTGAGCTAAATCCCTGGTCCAATACACCACCACTTTCTAACCTCTTAAAAAAATTGCTTCCCCTGGTGTTCCCACTATTTGGCTAAACTACCCTCTCTCCTTTTATTATAGCAGATGTTGTTATGTACTGATTGATTAATTACTTCTCTACACTAAATATTGGCGGAATGGTCTCTAATTTTGTATATTTCAGACCACCTGGGAATGTGGTAAAAATAGTCAGAAGCCCAAGTCCTATCTATCCTACTTCACAAAACTGGGCCTCTCTAGCTTCTAGTGCCTCACTAGCTCTTTTGGAGCGAATACACTCCAAAGATGGAGAAACACTGAGCTTGAGCACACGGCTTACGGGTCTTTCCAACATAATTTTTTTTTTTTTGAGACAGGGTCTCACTATGTAGTTGAGACTGACCTGGAACTCAGTATGTAGCCCATGCTGGTCTCGAACTCGCAGCGATCCTCCTGCCTCAGCCTCCCCAGTGCTGGGATTACAGGCGTGTGTCACCACATCAGCACACGGCTTACGGGTCTTTCCAACATAATTTTTTTTTTTTTGAGACAGGGTCTCACTATGTAGTTGAGACTGACCTGGAACTCAGTATGTAGCCCATGCTGGTCTCGAACTCGCAGCGATCCTCCTGCCTCAGCCTCCCCAGTGCTGGGATTACAGGCGTGTGTCACCATGCCCGGCTCCCAACATAATATCTAATACCACCATGGAAGAGCTCATCGTAAAGATGACTCAACCATTGGGAAGTCCTATTATACCTTCACCTCTTTATCATCTGCTCCATCAGAGCTAGCCACTCCCATAGCCACACTCTGAGCCTGCTCATCACTATTTCACTAATCTAGTGTAACCAGTACTAGAGTGAGGGAGCTATATTCTGTAGGGCAGAATTATAACACAGGTTTGTTTGTTTTTTCCCCTCCCAATCGCCCTTTCTAACCCTCTATGTGCTTCTTCTTTTTGGCTTTTTTCCTTATCCCTAGAGCAGACCACTAACTTTTCTGGCTACTTTAAAGTAATAAAAATTCTTCTAGTAACTTGCACTCATAAGAATAGACTCTGTTCAGTAATTAAAATGTTCAATAAAATTTGAACAACACTCATCATAAAATCTGAAAACACCCCCTCTTGTTACTGCAGCAGACCAGAGAACCACTGTGAAAGGGGATACAGTTCTGCTTCTCTTTCCTCTCTGGGCTCTGCCCTGCTCATCCCACACCCATCTCTGACCACCTGGCCATCTGGTGCCACTCCTTCTCCTGTGGTCACATTCTCCCTCTAGCCAGCTTTGGGATCTGAGACTGCTCGAGACCGGCCCCGCCACAGACCCTCCGTGGCCCAAGAGAAACACCCACACTTGTCCTAAGGCTGCTGGGTGTGCAGCTTGCCTTTGGTGCCCATCCTCTCTGCTACCAAGTACTCCAAGGCACTCCCGCCAGTCCTTCATACTCTTCACGGTTGGTTTTAGGAGAGAAGGAGAGAGAGAGAAAAAAAAAGCCAAGGTACTCCAAGAATTCTAAAAAATAAAAACCAGTGGCTGGGGATTAGCTCAGTGGTTCTGTTGCCTGCAAGTGCAATGTCCTGAGTTCCATCCCCGATACTGAAAATAAATAAATAAAATATAAATAAAAAAATAAACACCAGACCCAATACAAACAAAAAATAACTTCTTATTTTCAAGTTTTCAACTCTAGCACTTGTATATATATACTGTATCTTACCTATTTCTTGGAGAATGTAGAAGGCATACTGTTAACTCCATCTCAACAGCCCATTTACCACCCAACCCACACTTGTACCCATCCTTCCCCTCCTGCTAAAACAGATTCTTTCTTTTCCTTCCTTCCTTCCTTTCTTTCTTTTTCTTTCTCTCTTTTTCTATCTTTCTTTCTTTCTTTCTGTACTGTGGATCAAACATAGGTCCTTGCACTTGCGAGGCAGATGGCAGAACCATTGAGCTAAATCCTGGGCCTGAGATGCTCTTTCTTTAGTGTAAGATCAACTCCTTTGTTTCTTCTTTGGCTCCCATTCCTTCCAATTTTTTAGACATACACCACTAATTATCTCTTTTATCTTAAAGTTCTTCAGATTCTGGTAACTAAAGACATTAAAGTATCCATTATCTTAATAAACCTGTAAAAGCTTACATTTATAAAGAAATTACATACCACTATTGTTCAAAGTGATTCATATATGCAATTTATTTAGTCACCTATATTATCCTTCGAAGTAGGTAGTATTTTCCTCTTACTTTTTAAAAGGACAGAGATTACACAACTTGCCCAAGATCACAGGGCTGGTGTTTACTCACTTTACTGAGATTCAGTGCCTTCTGAATTCCTGTTGGTCCATTTTTATTTATTTCTCTAAATTTTCTTTTGCATTGTCTTATCTTCTTATAATTTTCTTCCTCCACAATTTTTATTACAAATCTAAAATTTAGATAATCTGTAAGAATAGTACACTAGGGACCTATATACTTTTTATCAAGATTCACACACATATCTATATGTATATATACACATATATATATATGTATATATATATATATATATATATAGACAGTTACCCAACAAATGATTCCAATTTCACATATCATGCTATACTAACTATAACTATATAAAGTACACTGGTAGAATTTTAGTCTGAAAATCACTATACAATTAATGGATGGACATTATGCTTAGTGACATTGACCAATCATTTCTTTTCAGATCTGTTAATGACTGGTCACTGCATATCTGTTGTTCAGTTTATGCACAGACAGCAAAGCATGTAGTTGTCTGTGTAATAATCACATGTTGCATGCCACTTTGTAAACAGGGATATTTGAAAGAAAATTTTCCAAAAAGACAAAAATGTAGGAAAGAAATGAGAAGTGCTAACACTGAAAGTGAAATTCAAGTCAAACATAAATGGAATTATGGGGCCGAGAGCTGCCTGTGGGAATGTTGATGCTGCCACCATTAGACAGACTCTAAATACAGAGCATGGGGGCACATGCATACAGTTCCAGCACTCAAGAGGGTAAAGTAGTATTGCCATGAGTTTGAGGCCAGCCTGGGCTGCATAGTGAATTCAAGGATGAACTTCATCATGAGACCCTGTCTCACAAAATTAAAAAAAAAAGGAAAAGAAACAAAGATTCTAACTATGCAGCCACAGGAACTTCACAACAGTGAATTTACCAACACTAATGAGGAAAATGGTTGTGACACAAAGGATGAAGGCATTCTGGAGGAAGTGACATCAACAGAAAACTTCATGTAATTGTGGGCAGATTAATAGAATTAGAAAATCGCTTCAAAGATATTTCATAACATTGAATGTGCAAAGGATAAAATAATGCTAGTTAGTCCAAACTTAGGAGCATGACAGTTTGTGAAGGCTTTGAAAAGATGCTTGTACCATACGGTAAGTTTTATGATCCAAAGAATCAACACCGTTCAAACTACTCTTTGTAAGTGTTTTACAAAGAAATCAAATACTTTAGTTCTTAGTTTTTCTAATGTTTTTAGTGTACTATATAAGAATTTGTCATACTATTTTTAAATTTTTCTACATTTATACTTGTCAGAAAGATTTAAAATTTTAACAAATTTTTAAACATCACAGAACAGTTGCAATTCCCCCACAAATATTAAGATTACTTTGTACAGTGTTATTTTGCATGCTCATTTTTATGGTCTCATATTACAATACCATTTTAATAGTCATGCAAAGTGAAGACCACGCACATTTATCTATTATCTAAAATATATAGATATCCCTGAATCATTTGAACATACTTTACATAGAAAATGACAATTTATCCCTTAAATATTTCAACATGTGCCTCTCTCTTTTAAGAACAATGGCATTCTCCTACCCTTGAGCTCAAGAAATTTAATATTCATATCATATTATATCTAATATTCATCACATATGCAAATTTACCCAATTATCTAAATAATATCCATTGTAGTATCTAAACAGAAAGGTCAGACATAGCCTTTAGCTTATAATCTAGTACAGTGCCACTACCTTTTTTATTTTTCCTGCCATACATGGATATATTTTAAAGGGCTCTATAGAATATCTCACTATCTGGATTGTCTGATTATTCTTTCATGCTTAGGTTTAGAGAAAATCTTGGCAACAATACCATATAGACAATGATTTGTCCTCTGTTCATCAATATCAGAAAGCACATGTCTCTTGATTAGTCTGATTAATAGTCATTTTAAATTAAATCATTTAGTTGGTGTATGTGTCAGATTTCACTACTGCTGGTTATCTTTTTCTTTTGTTATTAGTAAACAAATGTATTAGGATATACTTGGACACTGTATGAGTATTTTCTAACTTTTCATCACATGGTATTAGCATCCATTGATAATTCTTTATCAATTTTTATTTTGGTATTTGCAAGTGATTTTCTGATTCTATCAGTCTATCTACATTTATCACTTGGCTTTTTTTTTTTTTTTTTTTTTTTTTTTTTTATTTTTTTTTTGAGACAGGGTCTCACTATGTAGTTGAGACTGACCTGGAACTCACTATTTAGCCCAGGCTGGTCTCAAACTCGCAGTGATCCTCCTGCCTCAGCCTCCCCGACAAATATTGCTGGGATTACAGGCGTGCGCCACCATACCCGGCTACTTGGCATTTTTTTTAATGAGGAGGAGCTTTCTTTCCTCTTGTGACCTTTGCCCTTTCTAAGTATTTTTTTAGACTAACGGATTTCCTTTTGATTCAACATTTTGTAATAAAATCACCATAATTATTCTATCATTCAAACTCCCCTATTTGCCCCCATAAGAGGACATTCAGTTTAGATTCTATGTCCTCTGACTTGTCCCATCAGCTTGTGAATGCTTCTTGAGTGTCAACATTTTGCATTTAGATAAGCTTAAGAATAGTTTAAAAGCTAAAAGAATAGTATCATTCTCCAAAGAGTACATATATTTCTAGCTTAAAGGTTTATTTAAGGACTGTTCGGACTTATATAGAGGCATGCTCTTTGGACTCATAGCCTGCCATTCAGGCTTTTGACCCATTTACTTTCGCACAGATCTGTACATCTTGTTTATAGAGTCCCCATGCCTTTATCGTATAGTACATCTTGTTATATAGAACTGATTTCTGCTGATCGTACTGTAAAGTACAATAGTTTTATGTTGTCATACATTACAGTACTATGTGTAAGAGTTATATAAATAAAAGCAAAGTCATCAAGTTGGAGTCTCCTTGGACCATTTCTTTGTTCTGAATATTGTGACATACGTACTATATACATTTCCTCATATAGTGATCAATTCAATTAACGACCTAGTTGCATTAACAGAGTCCTAGGACAGATATGTTGGTGGAAATAAATGGGCTAGTTTATAAGTGGCCCAGAAAAGAACTTGTTGATTAACATAATTTTTATTCATTTCCCTATTTTGTTGAATGATTGCTGTAAGTTGTTGCTGGGCATGCGATTTTGAACAAATAAGACAGGATCCTTGCCTTCATGTAGCATGTGGAACAGAACATATTACTCAAATAATTACTCAAATCAGCCTGTAACTAGGAAGTTTAAAGATTACTTTTAAGGCATTCAACAAAACAGAAGAATGAATAAAAAATTGTTAATCAACAGTTCTTTTCTGGGTCACTTCTCTGTACAACTAGCCCATTTATTTCCACCAACAGATCTGTCCTAGGATTCCGTTAATGTAACTAACATTTCCTGGCTTTTATCTTTAAGTTTAATAAAAACAGTTTCAGTTTCCATCTCTTTTTGGTCACGTTGATTTCATTTCAATACAGAGTTATTTTTAACTGAAAAAACATTATTTTTTGGTAACTGTGCAAAACTTTCAAACCAAGGCGTTACCTTAGTTTCGATGTAAATACACTCACTGATCATGGGGAAGAGGCTATTTAGATCCTTGGCTTCTAATTTAACTAACTTCTCAGAAAATTAAAAACCAGAATGTCTCAGGGAGTGATGAAGTGAAAATAATGCACAAAATAAATAATGTTGCAAATACTTTCTTTTACTTAATATAAATTTCCTTAGTACAGTAAATTTCCATCAACTTTACATTTGAAAGTGAGACAGCTGCTACTTTAAAGTTCAAAGGCAATTTTAAAAAAATAAAGTTCATAGGCAAAAAGCCAAAAAAATAATAGGAACCTTAATTGATACTATAGTTTTTATTTTAAAGCCACACTTAGCTTACACTGTTAGAAACTTGCATAAACTTGTACCACTTTTTAAAATTTTTATATTTTAATATGCTTAGCTTGGCTATTTTTCTTTGTTAAAGAGCATATAAATGTCAACTGTTTCACTTCTTTTTTTAAATTTATTTATTTTTCTCCCATTGAGTTTATCGGTCCATTCTAGGTATGCAGTACAGTTACATTCATCACTGGGATCTCGTACCTCTACATGACAGGTCTTGGTTCTCATTTCCTCCCTTCACCCCCTCCTCCCTTCCCTATTTACAAACACTTTATTTCCATTTTTTCATTTTCTCATATTTTTCTTTTCCCTTATTACCTTTCCCCTACCCTTCCCACTTTCCCTACACCTTTAGCCCTTTTCTTCCTATTTCACATTTGTCAATTATATCATTAGGATCTTATGTGCTATTGTATTTTTTCACACCAGAGAAACTATGTGGTATTTACATGTGTGACTTATTTATTTCACTTAGGAGTATTTCCTCAATATGTATCCATTTTCCTACGAATGAATCTAATTTCCTCATTCTTTATGGCTGAATAGTATTCCAGTTTATAGAAAAACCACATCTTCTGTTTCACTTCTTGACAAATGGATTCTTTTTTTGATACCAGGGATTAAACTCAGGTCCTTGTGCTTGTGAGGCAGGTGGCAGAACCACTGAGCTAAATCCCCAGCTCTCAACTGTATCACTGCTTTAGCCTCCAAGTCATTTCTCATTCAAGTTAGCTTCCCTGAATAGGATCTCCAAGACACAAATGGATGGAAACTTTGAATTTGATTTTTTTTTTTTTTTTTTTTTGTACCCGGGATCAAACTCAGGACCTTTTTTGCAAGGCAGGCAGCAGCACCACTGAGCTAAATCCCTGGCTCTTGAATTTTAATTTTGAGACAGGGCCTTGCTAAGTCACTAAATTGCCTATCTGGGGTCAAACTTGGGATCTTCCTATCTCATCCTCTCAGAGTGCTAGAATTACACACAGGGAGCACCTTGCCTGGCTCTGTGTTGCCATTTTTTTGAGCATGATTTCAAACTGAGCATGTTCAAGAATATGCTCACTTTTACCTGTGATGATCTTTCTTGTATGAATACGTGTGAATTTACTAACAAAAACCCCCCCTTTTTTTTACTTTGAGAAACAGTGCTGTCGGAGTTATCCCATGTGCTCCTTACCTGCTGCAAG